AGTTCTATAGTTTCCTTATTCAACTTTTGTTTGGAAGATCTGTCCAGTGGTGAGAGAGGTGTGTTGAAGTCTCCCATGATTATTGTATGGTGGTCTATTAGACTCTTGAACTTGAGAAGAGTTTGTTTGATGAACATAGCTGCACCATTGTTTGGGGCATATATATTTATGATTGTTATGTCTTGTTGGTGTATGGTTCCCTTGAGCAGTATGTAGTGTCCCTCTTTATCCCTTTTGATTAACTTTGGCTTGAAATCTATTTTATTTGATATGAGTATGGACACTCCTGCTTGTTTCCGAAGTCCATATGAGTGATATGATTTTTCCCAACCTTTCACCTTCAGTCTATGTATGTCTTTTCCTATCAAATGCGTCTCCTGTAGGCAGCATATTGTTGGGTCTTGTTTTGTGATCCATTCTACTAGCCTGTGTCTCTTAATTGGTGAGTTTAAGCCATTAACATTTAGGGTTATTATTGAGATATGGGTTGTTCTTCCAGCCACATTTGTTTATTTATGTTACTAAACATGGTTTGTTTTCCTCTTTGATTATTTTTCCCCCCTTTACGGTCCTACCTCCCACTGTTGGTTTTCATTGTTATTTTCCATTTCCTCTTTCTGTAATGTTTTGCCGAGGATGTTTTGAAGAGATGGTTTTCTAGCTGCAAATTCTTTTAACTTTTGTTTATCGTGGAAGGTTTTAATTTCATCTTCCATCCTGAAGCTTAATTTCACTGGATACACAATTCTTGGTTGGAACCCCTTTCCTTTCAGTGTTTGAAATATGTTATTCCAGGATCTTCTAGCTTTCAGAGTCTGTGTTGAAAGATCAGCTGTTATCCTGATTGGTTTACCCCTAAATGTAATCTGCTTCCTTTCTCTTGTAGCTTTTAAAATTTTCTCCTTATTCTGTATGTTGGGCATCTTCATTATAATGTGTCTTGGTGTGGATCTCTTATGATTTTGCACATTCGGCGTCCTGTAGGCTTCTAGGATTTGGGATTCTGTCTCATTCTTCAAGTCTGGGAAGTTTTCTTGTATTATTTCATTGAATAGATTGCTCATTCCTTTGGTTTGGACCTCTATACCTTCCTGTATCCCAATGACTCTTAAGTTTAGTCTCTTTATGTTATCCCATATTTCTTGGATGTTCTGCTCATGGTTTCTTAACAGTCTTGCTGAGCTGTCTATGTTCTTTTCAAGTTGAAATACTTTGTCTTCATTGTCTGATGTTCTATCTTCTAAGTGTTCTACTCTGCTGGTAGTATTCTCAATTGAGTTTTTTTTATTAACTTTTTTTAAAAACATATTTATTTAGTTATTGGCAGACACAACATCTTTGTTGGTATGTGGTACTGAGGATCGAACCCAGGCCACACGCATGCCAGACGAGCGTGCTACCGCTTGAGCCACATCCCCAGCCCCTCAGTTGAGTTTTTAAGTTGGTTTATTGCTTCCTGCATTTCTAGGATTTCTGTTTGTTTGTTTTTTATAACCTCTATCTCCCTGTATAGTTGATCTTTTGCTTCCTGGATTTGTTTATGTAATTCCTTGTCGAAGTGATCTTTCATTGTCTGATTTTGCTGTCTAATGTCTTCCTTGAGACTCCAGATCATCTGAAGCATGTATATCCTGAATTCTTTATCTGACATTCCATCTGCTGCAGCTATTACCTCTTCTAAAGTTGAGTTGACCTGCATTGCTTGTGGTCCTTTCTTTCCTTGTCTTTTCATACTGCTCGCGTTTCTTTCTGCTTGGTGAAACTGTTGTGTTTTTGAAATTTTCCCCCTAAATATTTATATTGCTCTTGTATAGTTGAAAATTCTCCCTTGCAGGGTCGGGCGGCAGCTGTGCTCCTCCTCCAATTGGGGTGAACTGTCTACCACGCCTGCGGACCCCTGGGCCTGTTCTGCCAGTCGGTCACAGGTCTGCCTACCTTGCAGGCGCGGGCAGCGGCTCTGCTCTGCCCTTACTCCAATTGGGGTGACGTGTCTACCATGCAGTCGGGTCGCTGGGCTTGTTCCAAGCGCGGGCGGCAGCTCTGCTCTGCCCCTACTCCAACTGGGGTGACGTGTCTACCATGCCGGCAGGCCGCTGGGCCTGTTCCGCCGGTTGGTCGCAGGTCTGCCTACCTTGCGGGCATGGGTGGCGGCTCTGCTCAGCCCCTACTCCAATTGGGGTGTCGTGACTAACATGCCGGCAGGTCGCTGGGCCTGTTCCGGGCGTGGGCGGTGGCTCTGCTCTGCCCCTACTCCAATTGGGGTGACGTGTGTACCACGCTGGCAGGCCGCTGGGCCTGATCCGCTGGTTGGTTGCAGGTCTGCCTACCTTGCAGGCGCGGGCAGCGGCTCTGCTCTGCCCCTCCTCAAATTGGTGTGACGTGTCTACCACACCCACGGACCTCTGGGCCTGTTCTTCTGGTCGGTCGCAGGTCTGCCTACCTTGCGGGCGCGGGTGGCGGCTCTGCTCTGCCCCTACTCCAATTGGGGTGACGTGACTACCACGCTGGCGGGTCGCTGGGCCTGGTCCGGGCACGGGCGAAGGCTCTGCTCTGCCCCTACTCCAATTGGGGTGACGTGACTACCACGCCGGCGGGCCGCTGGGCCTGTTCCGGGCACGGGCGGTGGCTCTGCCCCTCTGGCTTGATGACAAAGTGAGAGAGACTCGGGTGTTTGTGACTCACTTTCTTTACCAGGAGACCAACCATTTCTGTCGCCGCTGGCATCGATGAAGTTCTCTCCTCCGCCGCTTTCTGATGACATCAGATCTCTGCCATGTTGGTATCCCATGTGAATGGCAGCATTTCGTTCCCTTTGCCGGGTGACCAAAGCAACGGGTGAGTCCTGACCGGCCCTCACAAGCCCCGTCTCAATCCTGTTGCCACTGCCTATGAAGGCTCAGTTGGTATTTACCTCCCCAGTATTCAGCAGGACCCGGACGAGAAGCAGTTTCCGCGGGTTCTTTAGCCCTGGGCCAGAGCAGTTCCGGGAGCCGGAATTTGGCCGCTCCGGGCTCAGTGTATGTTCTGATAGGAGCAGGCTCCAAGAAGCAGTTTCCGCAGGTTCTTTAGCACTGAGCCTGAGTAATTTGTCTGTGAGATGCAGGTGAATGGCAGCCTGAAATTACCTGTTCTATGGCTGAATGAGCTGCGATCAGTCGAAAACAGGGATGGTGACGTCAGCTCTTCAAACATTCTTTTCATGTGCTTGTCATTCATACTTCCTTTTCAGTGAAATCTGAGGTTTTTTTTTTTTTTTGCCTATTTTTTAATTGGATTTTTTTCTGTTATGTTCCTAAAGTTCCTGATATATTCTATAGGTCTTTACCAATAATTGCTCTCAATCTACAGGTTTTTCATCCTTTTTAACAGTTTTTTAAATTTATTTTAATTAGGTATATATGACAGCAGAATGCATTTTGATTCATTGTACACAACTGCAGCACAACTTTTCATTTCTCTGGTGGTACATGATGTAGCATCATACCTATGTGCTGTCATACATGTACCTAGGATAATGATGACCACTTTTTAACAGTCTTTAGGAAAGGAAAGTTTGTAATTTTGATGAGGTCAATTTGTCAAGTTTTCCTTTTATGATTTTTTTTGGGGGGTGGGTAAGAACTATTAATCATGAATTATTCACTAGGTCCAGAAGACTTCCCTGTTTCATTCTCAAGTTTTGTATGTTTACATTTAAGTCAGTGGCACACTTTTGAATTACTTTTTTGTTAGGTTTGGTGGAGGTTCCCCCCACCACCACCTTTTGACCATTTCTCCTCCAAATAACTAAGGCTTAAGGATAATCTCTATCACTGATTATTATTACCAGGTAATCTGTTTACTCTGGTTTTTACTAAAACTAACTGCTAAAAAGAATAAAAATTTTGATTAGGGGAAAGGCAGCATGGACTTATGATTTGTTGGCAATTATGGTGGGAATATTTTAATTGAGACTTTAGGCTTTTAGAACTCAGCATGAAAATACCAGAAAATAGGGGATCACACATGTTCAAAATAGGGGTAAAAAGGAGAAAATGAGTTAAAAAAGAAAGAAAGAAAGAAAGAAAAAGAAACAACTTCCCAACCTTTTGCCTAGGGATCGGATAATATACTAAACCCAAGATTAAAAAAAAAAAAAAATCTCAGTGGCTTGGGAGGCTGAGGCAGGAAGATTTTGAGTTCAAGGCCAGCCTAAGAAATTTAGTGATGCCTTGCCTAAACACCTTAGTGAGACCCTGTCTCTAAATAAAAAGGGCTAGGGATGTGGCTCAGTGGTTAAGTGCAGGGCCCTGGGTTCAATCCCTGGTACCAAAAAACAAAACAACAATAACAACAAAAAACTAGGGTCAATTTGCAAGCAAATTATGTTAAGGCATAAAGCATACATTAAATCAATATTTGCCAAATTGTAGTCATTTATGGATTACCTCAACAATATCATTATTTTTGGCTCAACCAAGAATTACATAATTTTCTTAACATGTTTACTGGTATCAATACAATCATCAGGTGATGCTTTGGAGACTGATTAGCATACTATATAAGGTACTATAAATAAAACTAAAACTGTTATTGGAACATGACCACAATTACTTTCCTACCTAGGTTTTAACACAAAATCACTGCTTGATTTTACTTTCAGAATTTGGATCCAAGCCATTCTCATTAGGAATCAGAATGAAGTAGCAACTATTGCTCTAGGCCAGACATGGTGGCACTTGACTGTAATCCTGGCAATTTCAGAGGCTGAGGCAGGAGGATCACAAGTTCGAGGTCAGTCTCAGAAATTCAATGAGAGTCTCAGCAACTTAGTGAGACCCTGTCTCAAAATAAATAATAGTTAATTTTAAAAAAAGGGGGTTGAAGATGTAGCAAAATGGCAGAACCCCTGGGTTCAATCCCTAATACCAAAAACTAAAAATTAAAAAAACAATATTGCCTTAGTGGCTGATAGAAAAGAAATACAAGTGGCTAGCTGCATAGTGAAATACATGACACACTTTGGTAACAATATTCACATTTTTATTGAAAGGTATATAGATGTGCTCACCACTGATACCTTCATTTGCAAATGGATTAGTTGCAAAGTATAAAGATCTGTACTTGACTTTTTAATCAAGATTATTGCCATAAGATTACTTATTTCCAGGTTTCTGCAGGTATGGAACTTTTTTCCCACTGGATCAGAAGTGTATCCAGTTGATAATATTTAAACAAACAAACAAACAAAAGAGAACAGTCATGTTGTCTTAGTCTTAAGGGTTTCTGAATTTTGTCCTTGGAGTAGATCAGGATCTTCCCAAGGTCTCGGACCTCGGATATTCTTCCAGTCTTCAAAAGTAGAGTCCTTTATTTTCTATAGAATCACAAAAGTTAAAATATATACATATTAGTGCAGGAGCCCTGCAGGTTTAATTAGGACATCACTGATTAATGAACAAATGAATAGAAAGAATTCAACAGGCACTTAATTAAATTGCTAGCAAATAATCAACTGCAAAAATAATAACTGAAAAAGCAAGCATAATAACTGAAAAACTGCCATGTTTCTTAGGATTTGTAGCTTTTTTGATAGGCATTGATGTTAATGCTTATCTCTCCCCCATAATAAAACTACTAATACAGAAAGAGTGTACACACCTTATTTATTTTTAAGAGCACAAAGGGAGGAAACTGAAAAACAAGTGTAAATCTGAATGCTGATCTAACATAAAAGACTAAAAGGGTTAGCATGGGTGATGGTTAAAAAGAGAGAGAGAAGAACACAGGTAGAGACCCTAAAATATTGTATAAGGAAGAAAAGAAATCAAGATGATTTATTTGAGCCTGGGCTTAAGAATGAAAAGACTTTTCCCATAGTTACCATATACAAAAGTTTTTTGAGCAATCAAAACTGTTCCAATAACAGTTTGGGGTATCCTATCTTTGTTTAGTATTAAGTGTCTCTCAAACACAGAAATGAAGGTAGGATAAAAGGGAAGATCAGAAACATTTCTTCCCTCCTCTAGTAACTACCACTCTGACAGTTATTTTTACATAACTGCTAACTTTGATCATTCTGGAATAAGTGAGCAAAATAAAAAAAAAAAAAAAAACAGGTAAAGAGAACACAGAATAACATATCCAAAGATGGGGAAAACGGGATAAGTCTATCTTGACATTTGGATTCTAAGCATTACTCTTTCACTAACTAGCTGCATAACTTTTAGCAAGTAATTTAAACCTTTTGGGAATTAATTTCTTATAAAAGTAATAATGAAAAGGTAGAACCAAATGTTCTATGTGGAGTCTTTATTTTAAAAATTTTATGACCTCTAAAAGGACTAGAAGGAATATCTACCCCAAAACAAGCACTTCATAGCATCACTACCGGCACAGTACTAGTAGATATTCAAGTAGCGAGTTACAGTTTGGGGCCAAAAAACAGCGAATGAGTGAATGAAAACATTGCTTTTTTAAAGTCAGGAGTCTATACGCTCTAAAGATATGAAAAGATTTTCTAAAGTAATGGCCAGTATCCATTTAACTTAAGATATATATATGCATAAGACAATTTCAAATCATTCTTAAATAAGAGGCAATGTTGGCAGAACAAATCCACATAAGAGTATCCAGTCTTTAAAGATCTTTGGAAGAAAAAGTTTCTTAGAAATTCTGCAAAACATGCAAAGTGGATGAACCACAGGTTGTATACATGCGCTGCGCAAGATCACTCAAGACTTACCATTTAATATCCAACTGCCACAGTAATGAGTGTGGAACAGACTCAAGAAATGCCAAGAAAAAGTAGTGTTAGGAATACTGAATTTTGAGCTCTGCCTGAATGGAGATGTCTCCTTATTATCTTGCTGCTACCTTGACATACAGGTAAGACATCTTTTAGGAGTAAGCATTTTTCAAAATCCATTTAGGTTCACTCCAAAAAAATTTAAAACTGAACCCTGACAAGAGCCTCTGGGGAGACTGCAGAATGAGTCCCACATCAAGTTACAGGGGCATAGGAAACAATAGTCTTTCCAAGATTCTCCCTTACAAAGCACAAATCAAATTCGAAGTGATCAGCCAATAATTAAACTGTCTGGTAAAATGAAAAACATAAGAAGTTTCTTCAGTATATTATTCATCACATATACCTCTCAACCAAATAGGACCAGATATACAAACAGGAAAGTGTGATCTAGTAAAAAATGAACAAATTAAAACAAAAAATTTAACCAAGTAAGACGAAGAACACACTCCCTTACCATATTCCATGACATATGTGCCATTAAACTTTTTGATTGTGCTGATCACTTAGGTGGAAAAATGACACCCTGTTATAACCCTAATTAACTGACATACCTATTATGTATGTTGAGCATCTCTTCATATGTTTAAAAATATGTATTTCCTTTCCTCTGAACTCCTTACATGCTTTGCCCATGTTCCTACTGACCAACTGAGTTGTTGAACTTTTACACATTGATGTAGATGCTTTCCATATTTAAATAAATTACTTAGCCATAAGATAAAAACATTTTTAGAATTTCTTATTTAACTTAGGACTTTATGTACAATATTTTGTTAGGCTGAATTTTTATGACCTAAAAACACAAAAAAGAAAATCTGCAATTTTTTCCCTCCTAATACCTTTCATATTTTGTTTATTTTAAAATCTGTGACCTCTGTGGAATCTGTTTGTAGAGTATGAAATATGAATCCTCCTTTATGTTCTTTTCAAACTGTTACATAAAGAGCATCCCTAAGTCCAAAATATGGAATCTAAAATGAACCAGAATCAGAAACTTTTGGGGCACTGATATGATGCTTAAAACTTCCAGGTATATCTCAGCATGTGTGAGGTAGTCGGCTTGATTTCCAGCACAGAAAAAAGAAAGGGACAGAGGAATGGGAGGGAAGAAGGAGAGTCTGGATGGGAAGAAGAAAACTAATTCATATTTTGAGTTTTCAGGTTAGAGATGCTCAACCAGGAGTCTATCTGAAAAATTCCAAAATCTGAAACACTCTGGTCCCAAGTAGTTTATCAAATACCAGATTTCAAAATAAATATTTTTTTCCTGTATTAGTAATTTAAGTTTATCTTAAGGCAGACAGTTTCAAAACATAGAGTATTAACATAGTGTACCTCATACTCTGACTCTAAAGACACTTTATTCATTTTCAGTTTTTTTTCCAATTCAGGATCAATCTGGAGAAAAGAAAGAAGAATAATAAGTTACTTAAATTTGTTATAGTCTATTTCCACTTTTAAAAGTTACAGAAGGGATGACTGGGATAATACAGCCAACTTAAAACTCATGGCAAAACCTCAACCATCCATCCATTCCAGTCACAAAATGATATTAATGCAGTACTACCATCACCACTACAATTAACAATTGCTGATATCTATTGAGCATTGTTATGTGCACGACATTTTGAAATGTACTGTCTCATTTAATCCTCATAAAACCTGTAAGTATTATCTATATCTCTATAATTACATGTAAGGAAAATAGGACACAGGGAATTGGAATAACTGGTCAAAAATGCAGTGCTTAGCAGTGAATATTGGCCCTTTGCCTTGAGAGGTCACACAATTAACCACCAACCTAAATTGTGTTACACAAAAATAATATTAAAAATGTTAGTAAATATATTACACAAAAATAATATTAAAAATGTTAGTAAATATATATGCACTTGAAAACAAAAATAACACCTTCCGCAGACCAGAAAGAAAGGGATAGCTATGAAAATACTAAGATTCCATAATGGTACACAGGAGCTGATGCTATGTTACTTGTATATGGAAAAGTTTCTAGAAGAGTATGATTGCTAAAATAAACAAACAACAATAAATTAAATTAAAAGGTATAGCTGATCAGTGATGATTCTACAGACCCTAAGAACAATTAGTAAGCTAGAGGTATATCCAGGATTCCACTAGAATGTTGCATAAAGAGTAGATTATATAACATTTTGATCAACCATCTTCCTGTGCCTTTAGTTTTTTTGTAAATGATTAAAAATGTGTCCAATGATGTCAAAGTAATTTGCAACAAAACCAGAAAACTATATGACCTGAGTCTCTTGGGGATTAAGAAGTAAAGACCCACTTGTGGGGAGGATTTCATAAGAACTGAGAATTGAGGTTGAAAGTCCATTTTGTCCTTGGGCACACATCCCAAACCTGGTAGAGCTATAGAATAAGAGCTAAGGCTTGAAACCAGATAGATGGCTGCTGATGGGGTTAAAGACATCATCCAGGCCTCTAACAACAAAAATAGAGATAAAAGAACTCAGAACAGTGATCTCCCTCAAAGAGGTTCTAAACTCATAAGTTAAGATTATACAAATAGGCTGGAAAATCCTTGAAAAGTAAAGCTAAATATCCTGAAGTCCCAACTGAAAGTCATATAGGGCTGCATCCTAGGTGTGAGGAAAAACAGAAAAAGACTAAGTCATAATTTTAAACTACAACCAAGCCATGACCTGGATCACTCCCAGATATTAGGGGGACTGCCGCCCCACTCTATATGCCTAGCAAAACAAAAAAGCAACCTTTCTGAAAGAAAACAACACTATCTCTACAGCTGTTTATAACCAATGACCAATATTTAATGTTTAATTTAAAAATTAAATTTAAAAATCAAAAGACATGTTCAAAGACAGTCATACTGTCAAAAAACAAAAAATAATAGACAATAAAAGTACATCTAATCTTTTTAAAATTAACTAATATTTTTAATTCTAATTTGTTATATATGACATCAGAATGCATTGTAATTCATATTACACATATAGAACACAATTTTTCATATTTCTGGCTATACATCTAATCTTGATCCATATGTTGGAAAAAAGGACTTTAAAGTAACTATAATTCATATATGTTAAGACATTAACAGAGAAAGTGGATAAAAATATGGTACCACTGAAGATTTCTCCAAAGTAATGGAATACTTTAATTTATTTTAATTTAATTTATTAATTTTAATAAAAATTAAATGTACAGTTCAGAAGTAAGAAAATATAGTAAGAAACCACAGTCAAGGGATGGCTTTAATAAGAGATTGAACAAGCAAAAGACAGGTTTAGTGATTAGAAGATGAAACAACAGAACATATACAAATCAAAATACAAAAAAAAAAAAAAAAAAATGGGGAGGGGAAGAAGCCAAATAGAAGAATGTTAGATATACTTAAGTAGTCTAATATGCATCTCGGTGAAGTCCCATAAAAGAAGTAGACAAAACTGGGCAAAAGTAACATTTTATAAGACACTGACAATTTTTTTTACATGATTTCATTTAATTTTTCAAAGAAATCAGAAGACAATTTGAAATTCCATTTTTTTTTTTCCCAAATCAGAGTACTTAAGAATTATGGTAAACACTTTGTGTTGCTATCACTCAGACCATCACTTGGTACAAAACAGAAAGCATAATGCTTGGTCAGATTTTACAGAATCAGCTCTATACAGTAGGGGATCAACAGATCTGGTACTAAAATTTCCTCTTTTGTTCACCCAAGGATATTTTAGTTCTAATCTCTGAATCAGAAAATGATTCAAGAAAAATGTAGTTAGCTACTACGGCGCACACCTGTATCTCAGCAACTTGGGAAGCTGAGACAAGCAATGGCAAGTTCAAGGCCAGTTTGGACAACTTAGTGAGACCTTGTCTCAAAATAAAAAAAATACTAAGGGCTAGGGATGTAGGTCAGTGGGAGAGCACCCCTGGGTTAAATCCCTAGTACCAAAAAAATGGGGAAAAAAGATTAAAAAGTAACTTTATCCAGTTTCATAGGTCAATCAAGGAAAACAAAATGAAAGCTCTTTTTTAAAAAAAATTTTATTTGTTCTTTTTAGTTATACATGACAGTAGAAAATGAATGTTCTTATTAGCATGGTCTGCACAAGTCAATTGAGCATCTGCTATTTTAGACTGAGTATTTTATTTGGGGGGGAGATAAATAAACTTATGAATGATTTCATATGTACCTGCCTACTTGCCTGTCTCACCCTGGTTATGTGAGATTCAGTCTTCATATGTGTTTTCACATCCCTGTCTCCAATATGCCCAATTTCAATTCTTTTTTGCATTGTGTTGTATGCTCTGTTTTGGTTATTTAACTCCTAAATCCAATTATATGTGTCCTTTTCATCTGTCATTAAAATAACAGATTTATTTAGCTTTCTTTTTCAGTGATGTCTGGATCACATTCACAGTAGTATTTTAATTGTTCTCATTTTCATTATCTAAATCTTAGAAAACATAGTCACAATATTGATAATGTTAAAAATTAAACTAGCCACTACCTTGTTATAAAGCACAATAGATAGGCAAAGTCAAAGACTGTTACTATTCACAAGTGCAAGGTATGAAAACAATGTACTTAAACTGCACACTTATATCACTTGGAATGATCCAACAATGGAAGATTCATTATCGTAGATCCACGACTGTTACCATCAGCATTCAGGAGAAAAAACAACAGCCCCTATGGATGGCAGACAAACTGCCATATATACATCACACTAAAAAAGAAAAGATGCTCCTTTCAGCTCTGTTTTTGTGGGTCTTCTACTTTTCTCTCAACTTTCAATACCCATTACTGAAAAGCAGTAATTTTCTTGTCATTGGATGCCAAATTTTCAGTATGAAAATTATTACAGTCTCAGGCAAAAACTACAATCTCTGGTCACTCCATACCATTATTGTCTTCTTTCTCCTTCTTCCAATTTCTCAACTGAACTCATTCTCCTTTGGTCTTGTCAACTGATTTTGTTTAGTGCTGAGGATGTAGCTCAGAGGTAGAGCACTTTGCCTAGCATGCACATGGCCCTGGATTTGATACCTGGAACAACATATTTAAAAAAAAAAATCAACTTGACTTTGACCTTTAGACCCTAGTCTCAATCTGCCTTGGATCCAGCAATTTTGCCCTCTTAGCCAAATCCCCATTGACCTCAACCTCTCAATCCTTACAACTACCATCAATCTCAACTAATCTTATGCTCTCAACCCTTAGGAGAGCATAAGATTATGGTTCAAATTTATCCTCTCAACATCAGCCTACCTCATCCTTGCTAAGGCATTTGAACTCAGCCTTAACCAAACACTGAATTCTTTGGTTTTCATCTGAATTAGACTTCACAATATCAACCACCCTCAACCTCTCAATCTCAGTTGGCCTTGTCCTCTGATCTTTCTCACCTCAACCTTGCGCTCTCATCCTTCTCCTACATATAGACCTGACCTCACTGTTTTTTTTAAAAAAAAGACGCATTTATTCAGCATCATGATCAGACTATTACATTTAGCAATCAACAGCATAAGTGCACCAAAAAAAAAAAAAAATGTCTACATTAAACCCTTTGTTGGAATACTTTACACTTTTCACACAACAGAAACTAAAATAATCTGTTATTCAATTAGTCCACAAATACAGTCCTTGAGTTTTGTTGCCCATAAACATGATTATTAATGAGTACTGTCTTCTTTATAGCAGCTAGGCCCCGCCACCACTGCGCTTGGCTGACTGTAACCTGTTGCTTCCCTGTCACTTCTCTAGCTCTCCTCTCCTGCTGAGTTTCGTTTCCTGGCAGTATGAAAACCTTCTGCCACAGCCAAAGCTACTGCTGCTGCTGGAAACGCCACAGCCACCTTGGTTTCACAGTTTGGCAAGGTATTGGCCTCCACCACCATAAGGTCCAGAGCTTCTGTCTCCAAAGTTTCCACCATTCATGGGTCCAAAATTTGATGACTGTTTTAACTGCCCAAATCATTATAGCCTTCACCACCTCTAAAACTGCTTCTGTTATTACCAAATCTAATGTAGCCACCCCCCACTGCCACCATATCTACCACCACCATGGACACTACCAAAGCCACTCAAGTTTCCTCCACTACCAAAATTGTCATTTCCACCAAAATCACCTCCATGACATGACCACCACCAAATTTTCCAGAACTACTTTGACCTCTTTGGCTAGATGAAGCATTAGCCACTGGCTTTCCTCACTTCACAGTTGTAGCCATTCACAGTATGGTATTTCTGATGACAATCTTATCCATGGTCATCAAAAGTTACAAAAGCAAAGGATTTCTTCCTTACACTGTCTCGGTCCATCATGATTTCAGTAACTTCACTTTTCCCATACTGTTCAAAATAATCTTGAGGTGATGTCCTTAAGTGTCTTCTTTAATTCCACCAACAAAGATCTTTTTCAGTGGGCCCCTGGTCTTTGAGAATCTTCTCTTGAGACAACTCTGTCTGGTTCCATAACTCTTCCATCCACCTTGTGTGGTCTTGCATTCATGGCTGCATCCACTTCCTCCACCATGGCATAAGTGACAAACCAAAGCCCCTGGAGCACTTTGTGTTTGGGTCTCTCGTTACTACACAGTTCATGAGTGTTCTCCATTGCTCAAAGTGGTTTCTCAGACTCTCATCAGTTGTTTCAAAGCTTAGCCCTCCAAAGAATAGCTTCTGCAGCTGTCCGGGCTCTTAAGGGAACTCTGATTTAGACAAGATGGCAGTACTTTAATGATACTTTCTCAACAGCATTCCCGGGCAGAAAGCCTGACCTCATTCTTTTAACCTTAATTCTCTCGACTTCAATTGACATCACCTTCTAAACTTCAATCAACCTCATTGTCTTGACCTTACTTACATTCTTCTCTTTATTTTGCCCCCACCCTCTAGGCCTCTCCTTTTATCTCAACCTCCCACATTCTCTTCTTAGCTGAATAACTAGCACCACAATTTATCCAGTCCTCAAAATCAAAACTTTGAAACATTTTAGAATTACTCTTATATTCATATGACATACATCACACTGTGTATCAAATACAATCAATTCGCTGCTATAATTTATTCTGGAACCCATTCATTTTTCTTTATTTTCATTGCCATTATTGTTTATGTACTCTGATACCACAGAGTCCTAACAAATCTCTTTAAGCAATCTCTTCCCTTCTATATTGCTCTCCCTGTCCCCATCCATCCTCTTTACTCCATTGCAAGAGAGACATTTCTAAATTGAAAATTGATAAACATACATTACTTGTATAAAGCTTCCCATATCAAATAGGTGGCACAAATAAAAACTACATACTTCTCAATGACTGTGCCAGAGTTCTTATATAACACCTGGCATGGATTTGACAGTATATGTGTAATAATAGAAGGTGATCCTAACTGTACCCCAATACAGTCACATGACCTCAAGCAAGATACTTAAGTTTTCTGAGTCTTAGAAAGCCCATTTTCCTCACATGTAAAATGAAGGAGCTAGTACAGTCCTAGCACAAAGTAGACACTATAAAAAGGCAGGTATCTTTACTTATAATAAAAGATAATTTTTCCTTTCTTTCAGTATCAATTACTAAAGATGTGTATCAATATAATTAATACAATTAATAATATTAATATTAAATAATTAATTTTAATTGGAGAAATAAAATGAAGATTTTTGATCCATGTTCTTTAGTCCCTTCTAAATCCTAAAAACAACTAAACCAATGTATGGGAGAAAGCTAATGATATCTCAAATTTCCTAGTGAATAGACAGATTCAATCACTTCCATGTGATTATTAATGATATTTTAAAGAATAAAGGCCAGGTGTGGCAGTGCACACCTATAATTCCAGCAGCTCAGGAGGCTGAGGCAGGAGGGTCTCGAATTCAAAGTCAGCCTCAGCAATTTAGCGAGGCCCTAAGTAACTCAGTGAGGCCCTACCTCTAAATAAAATACAAAAAAAGGCTGGATGTGTGGCTCAGTGGTTAAGTGCCGCTGGGTCCAATCCCCAGTACCTAAATAAATAAGCCAGCCTCAGCAACTTAGTGAGGCTCTAAGCAATTTAGCAAGACCCTGTCTCAAAATACAAAATAAAAAGGGGTGGGGATGTAGCTCAGTGGTAAAGCACCCCTGGGTTAAATCCTCAATACCAAAAAAAAAGAATAAGAAAGTGCTGAGGTATTCAGAGAGACTGAATACTGGCTTTGAAAAACAAGACAAACTTAGACTGCTAAATACTCGGAACATTTAATTCTAAACCAAAATATACATATACACAGACACAAGTAAAATTCCAATTACAATTCTTACTTTAATCTTCGCAGCATCATATCGGATTTGTGAAAATTCACGAAGACCAAAAGAACCTCCAACAACCAGCAACTAAAACAAAGAAAGGAAACAGTTAAACAAAATAGAAGAGTAGATTTTATGCACAAATTACTTGTCTGAACAACAGCAGAGACAGACTCTACAGATCCTATAGATTAGTCCTCCTTTCAGAACTGATGCAGTGGATATAATTCAAAGATATTCCACAGATGCCTGAAACCTCAGATAATACTATGTTTATTCCTATACATATATATCTATAATAAAGTTTAATTTATAAATTAGGCACAATAAAAGATTAGCAACAATAACTAATAATAAAATAGAACAGTTGTGATAATATACTATAATAAAAGCTACTTAAGACATAAATTATTTATTTCTGGAATTTACCATTTAATATTTTCAGATAGCATTTGACTATGAAATTACAGAAGTGAAACCTCAGACAAAGGAGGCTACTGTAACAGTCCTGGAAAAATTTACATTGCTATCAAATACCAAAATTAGTACCTTATAACCTGTACTTGGTCTTATAGTTTAAATTATGTCATGACAAGCAAATATTACTTGATCCTTACAACAGACCATCTGCTAAGGGGGAAAACCCATTTAACAGATGAGGAAATAAAAATAAAAACCCAGCTAACTAAATGATTAGCCCATTGTTATATTACATTTGGCCTGAGGCTGTTTCTATACTTAGAATTCCTATCACTCTAACTTAGTAGGTAAACAGAAATTTGATTAGACCATGTTCAAATAAAGCAAATGCCTAGCTGTTACCAATCAAGCTATTTCTGTACTTCATTTCCTTGTTCTGTCTATAAATACTCACTGCCCAGGTCAAAGAAGGGAAATTCCCAAACCTCTTCTGGTTCTAAATGCTGCCTGATTCATGAACCTTCTTTGCTCAAATACTGTAAAATTTGTTTCCTTTAAGTTTTTATTTTTTTAAATGGTATTGTATTTTTTATGCCTTAATTTATTTATTTATATGCAGTACCGAGGAATGAACCCAGTGCCTCACGCATGCTAGACAAGCACTCTACCACTGAGCTACAACCCTAGTCCTGAAATTTTTCTTTTAACATGACTCCTCATGGTAAACAAAGGAATAAAACTGACCTATTTCTTTAAGTCCAGGATTCTTTCCATTTTATGATTTTGCAAAATAAGCCAACTGGAAAACATTCTCTCATTTTCTTATCTAGTGATAAAGGAATCCTGTGAAATATACCACACTTTTTAGAATTTGGTGAAGTTTTTAAAAATCCCTCAATTGTCACTGCTGCTTTACCATCTCCTCTAAAAATCTAATTGGCCTTAATCTTCCATTCTAAAGCTGCAAAAGTCTAGCCATTTGGAAAAAACGTTTGATTCCTATCTTACTTTTTATATTATTATACTTATACTACTGATTAAAGAATTAATATAAAAAGTATTGGACATTATAAATTATAAGCTCTTACAATTTTGAAGGGAGTATCAACAAGACATTGAAGCCATGAATTTTTCAGTCCAATACATGTGCCCACATAAAAGTTTAAAACTTCTACCCTGACAAATAAAACAAAAAGAACATAAATACAAAAGACAATAAATCAGGAAAAAATATCTGTTATATGTTAAGCAGATAATACCTGCAATGTCAATATGTAAGAAATTCATCACATAAGTAACTTTGCCCTTTACTTTCAATATGAGAATGCATACCCCTGGTTTTCTTACTTCCTCTCAGTTTCCTTTTATCTTCCCAATGTTGGAGTACCCCCAAAGGCTAAGTGTTTTCACTCCTTCTGCCTATTATCAACCAACATTGAGACCCTAGGTGATGTTATCCATTTCCACTGATTTAAATAGCCTCTATGGCTAAACCTCCAAATGTATATTTTCAGTGGGAACTATTATACCAAACTGAATACCTGCTTTCTTATTTGACAACTCCTCTTCAAAGTCTAACAAGTATATACAAATAAACATAAAAGATCTTTACCCCAACCTTCTTTCTGTCCTAACCAACTTTTATGATCCCAGTAAATGTCAATTACTTTCACCCAGTTCTTGAAGTCAACTTCTTTGTTGTCATCTTAAGCTCCTAGTTCATATCTCCTATCTAGTTCATCTCTGCATTTTGTTATATCTACTTTCAAAATATTTCTTGAATCTGACAATTTCTTACTATATTATGTTCTAATATCCTAGTTCAGGGTACCATCGCTTTTCTGGACTTATTCATTCACAGAACCCACATAATGCATAAGAAAGAATTTGGTCTTTGTCCTAGGTTTCTAGAAGTTGTTTCAAACTTGGAATTTCCTGAGTGATAGGACTGTCTTTGTTATGGTGAATGCTGGGACACAAACATTACGGAAGTGATGCAAGGTGGGCCCCTAGACAGTTTCAGAATAGAGAAAGGCTGGTCATGCTGGAAAGATCAACTGAGTGACTAGAAAGCTATGGCTTTGCGCTGAGTGATATCAACCTGACCTCTAAACCTCTAGGAAAGGGAGCACAGAGGTGGAGACTAAACACAAAGTCTAATCATTCCTGCCTAGATAATGAACCTCAAGAAAAAATTTGGACACTGAGGCTTGGTTGAGCTTCCTGATTGGTGAACACATCCATGTGCTAGATGGGTGCCATGCTGTGATTACAAAGAAGGACAGAAGCTTCACATTCAGGACCCTCCTAGATCTTGCCCTATGTGTCTCTTCTTTTGACTAGTCCTAATTAATAAACTTTATAAGGAAATAGCAATTGTGAGAATAGAGCTCACCTGTGTTCTGTGTCATTATAGTCAATACTGAACAAGAGGGAGTACAGAGAACACCTGAATTTGTAACCAGTTGTTCAGAAGCAACAGTTAGTTTGAAAATCCCAGAGCTTCCACCTGAAGTGACAGTTCTGTGGAGGGTTGTGCCCTGAGGTTGTAAAGTCTATCATAATAGTAGGACTTGCCATATGAACTGTACTGCACCACCCACTGTTACCTTAAAATCCACACTTCTAAGTATCTTCATTTTTGCACTGGATTCCATCTTCTCTTATCTACTAAAGAATATTGATTAATTACTTTCCTCTTCTTCTGTATCATCAAAATTTTGCTCAGTTCTTCATGAATCATCATAAAAGGCTATTATTTCTCCTTCTTATTAACAAATTTTTCTCGATCTTACTTTCCCACCATCTATCATCTATTTCTTTATTTCTATTTGGAGTAAAACTTCTCAAATGAGTTGTCTAGCCAAAAACGTACACTGGAGAAAAGATAGCCTCTTCAACAAATGGTGCTGGGAAAACTGAAAATACACATTAACTAAATGAAATTAAACCTCTATCTCTCAGCATGCACAAAACTCAACTCAAAGTGGATCATCAAGGACCTAGGAATTAAACCAGAGACCTTGCACCTAATAGAAGAAAAAGTAGGCCCATATCTTCATCATGTCGGATTAGGCCCCAATTTAATAAAACTCCTGTAGCGCAAGAATTAAAACCAAGAATCAATAAATGGGATGGATTCAAACTAAAAAGCTTCTTTTCAGCAAAAGAAACAATCAGTGAGGTGAATAGAGAGCCTACAGAATGGGAGCAAATCTTTACCACAAGCACATCAGATAGAGCACTAATCTCTAGGATATATAAAGCCCTCAAAAACCTTAACACCAAAAAACCCAAATAACTCAATCAATAAACGGGCCAAGAACCTGAACAGAGACTTCTCAGAAGATGATATACTGTCCAGCCCCGGTGGGGATCCAGGGGTCCTGAAGGAGGCAAAAGATGACGAGATGGGATGACAGGTTGTAAGTTACGAGCAGCCTCCAGAAAAAAACTGCTGCCCCTAAAGGGGCCTTTATTTTTATACTTTTTTTACAGGTGTTTTTTCAGGTAGTTAATGAATAGCCTCAAAGCCCAAAACTTCTTTGACTTATATAATTTTAAAGAGTTACAATCTTTTCTGACATACATTGATAGATACCTAAGATATTATGTACATTGTTTAAAATATTTTCCTGTAACCTTAGCCAATCATGATTAAGCTTTTACATTTTCACCTCAATCATTAGGTGCTAGGCTACCCAACTAGACTACATGTCTCCGGACCTATTATTAACTTCTAACTTTAAAGCATACCTATAATTATTTCATTAACCTTTAACTTTTATGATAATTGGTAAGTTTTCTTACTTCTAAACTAAAATCCCAGTAAAACGCACTTAAAATAGTGAAAGTCTATTACTTAAAAACCCTACTACTCTGAAATGCCTCTAAAATATATTTATGTTAATTTTACATTATTTTATTTTTAATTTCCAAGGTAATTTCCTTTTTTCATATGACCTATTTAATTGCTTTCTTAAAGAGTTTCCTGGATCCTTGGTCAAAGTACACCAATTCTTATATCTTTGTAATCTTTAACTAAAGGGTAGGCTTTGCACCTCAACCCATTTGTCATTTATATTAACTATGTGTTTCCCATTCTCATCATAAATTCCTGTGTAAGGCAAAGGAGGGGTCTGTTGGTGGGGGGAATGTATGTCGCACAGGTTGTGGCTTTAGAACGGATGGCTTAGTATAAACTCTTAAGCTTTTCTCAGGAACCTCAATTTGCAATCTTTTCCCCGTGAATTTCTTGAGGAATAACACTATTGTTTGTATCCTGAGAGATACTGAAACACACCTTGTGGCATGTCTTAATTTTGTATCCTTAGTCTCTTTCTGGGAATTTTCCTGCAATCTCAGGCAACACATAATTTTATTATTGATTGACATATGCCCTATTATCCATATCATGAGTATCATAAACAAAACACTTAACATTCCCCATGGTTCCAGTTTCCAGATGGTGTGGCCCTGCCACAGCATCCCCCCATGCTGAAACCCTGTCAAGACAGTGGGTGCAGGAACACCTTCACCAATATATATAATCAATCAATAAACATATGAAAAAATGTTCAACATCTCTAGCAATAAGAGAAACGCAAATCAAAACTACTCTAACATTTCATCTCATTCCAGTCAGAATGGCAGCTATTAAGAAGACAAACAACAATAAGCGTTGGCGAAGATGTGGGGAAAAGACACACTCATACATTGCTGGTGGGACTGCAAATTGGTGCAGCCAATATGAAAAGCAGTATGGAGATTCCTTGGAAAATTGGGAATGGATGCACCATTTGACCCAGCTATCCCACTCCTCCGTTTATACTCAAAGGATTTAAAAACAGCATATTACAGGGACACAGCCATATCAATGTTTGTAGCAGCACAATTCACAATAGCTAAATTATGGAACCAATCTAGATGCCCTTCAGTAGATGAATGAATAGGGAAACTTTGGTATATACAGACAATGGACCATTACTCAGCATTAAAAGAGAATAAAATCATGGCATTTGCAGGTAAATGGATGGAGTTGGAGAATATAATGCTAAGTAAGCCAATCCCCAAAAACCAAATGCCAAATTACTTCTCTGATATAAGGATGCTGATTCATAATGGGGATGGGGAGGAGCATGGGAGGAACAGACAAACTTTAGATAGGGTAAAGGGGAGGAAAGGTGGGGAATGTGGTAGGAAAAATGGTGGAATGAGACAGACATCATCACCCTAAGTACATGAATGAAAACACGAATAGTGTTCAACCAAAGACATGAAAAATTGTGCTCTATTTGTGTAATATGAATTGTCTTGCATTCTGCTGTCATATATAACTAATTAGAATAAATAAAATTTAAAAATGCTCACAGAAAAAAAAAAGGAAGAATACTGCTGATGTGGTGGCATATGCCTGTAATCCCAGCAGCTCAGGAGGCTGAGATTGGAGAATCAAGAGTTCAAAGCCAGCCTCAGCAATGGCGAAGCACTAAGCAACTCAATGAGACCCTGTCTCTAAATAAAATACAAAAGAGGGCTGGGGATGTGGTTCAGTGACAGAGTGCCCCTGAGTTCAATTCCCCGGTACCAAAACAAAACAAAAACCCTAAATACAGCATTTTTCTCTACAAAATTATTTACATGTTTAGGGCCAATACAAACATACAAAGCAATCTACAGTTATATACTCAGGAAGAAAGCTACTGAAGTACTTTCCAGTTCATGAACTAAAAACAAAGGAGAAAAACCCTAGACAGTACTTCAATATGCAGTGGTTTTATGACCTTGGCTTTCTTTGATAATTTTGAAAAGTAAGAAACTCAAACTGGCCTCCAAAGGAACATGCTGGTGACTCAAAGTCAGTGACCACAATCTCAGTGTTTTCAAATGGCAGAGGACATTTTTATATACATGCCCTATAACCTACAGCAATGTAATTACTATGTTATTTTTACAAAGACAGTTATCTTTAAACTTTTGAAAGCATATTAAAAAATTTTCTAAAGATGAAATTTAGTCCTGCTTTAACAGCAGAAGCTGGTAAGTTCACTTGTGCCAATATCCATACCAAAGTATTAAACTATTCTGTAGTTTTAAAGCGGCTTTTCTTCACATGCTTGACTTACATGATTTCATGTACTATGACATCGAGGTTTGCTGAAGCAAAATAACTTATCCACGATTCAACAGCAAATAAAAGTAGCTGTCAGGATTCCAGCTCTGATCGGTCTTATGTCACTTTGAATTTCATCCTCGAGACATTACGGGAACTCAGCGCAGAATTCAAAGCAACCATATAAGCTACAGTGCTTTAGAAATATTAACTAACACAGTGACCATTTGAGGGGTGTCACGGGTGGCAGACACCGTACTGAACATTTTATTCACAAGATCTTATATGATTCATAACAAAACCCTTGAAACAAGCTAGCAACATCCGGGCTTGGGTAAAACGTTGGTTGATACAGTTTTCTGAGAAACGGGGACAGTAACAATCGCGTTCCCGATGGAAAAGAGGCCGCACAGACCCCGCTCTACCAGAGAAAAGCGGGACCGGAGAGCCTATTGTGAGCGGGGCAAGAAGACGAGGAAACCATTGCCTGAAAGCTCTCAAACCTGTCGCTAGTCCACTCCTTTCCAATCTCGGCCGTCGGACTTCGGTATAGACTCCAGCAGGCTGGAGCCAGCCAACCAGGAACCCGCCCCCCCCCGCCCCCCCTCCAGAGTTCGGGCCCACAGATCCACTCACCAACATCGGGACTCCGTAGCTCAGGGTCTTGTTTTTGCGCAAGGCACGCAACACTTCTGGTGCAACCATGATTGAACTCTCCAGTTGGCTGAGACGCCCCTCCGCTCAGACCCAGTGAAGTCTCGTAAATTTCAGCAAAGGAAGGCGTTCCGGCCTCACCATCTCTCCTTTGCTATCTGGTTTCCGGTTCTACCAGGCAGAACTAATCGATTCATCGTAACACACTCCCGCGACCGCCCGGAAACTGGGGAGTCACCGCTTTAGTTCCGTGACGTTGAAGGAGTTTAGGGACTTGAATCTGGTTCCTGATCCCCATCAAATTGGTGTGGAGGCCAGTACCTCGCAAATTCTGGGTCTTGACTAATGTCTTGGAATACTCTCTGGCACAGTCACTCGATAAACTCAGGTAAGGAAAAGAAGAAAAAAAAACATTCTATAGTCTATGCCTACCTATAAAATTTAAGTTTTTAAAGTAAATCGCTAGAAAGTTTAGATTGAATGTAATTGCTGTTTTACCAAGTTTCACCGAAATGTAAATGCTAATGCTGGACCTGTGGGATAGCCTCCAATATTCAGTCATTTATGAAAGCCTAATTTCCACTGATTCAACCACGACAATACCTTTTTGCGTGCCCTTGAAAGCTATAGGAATACAGATGAAAAGATATTCCCGTCTTAAAGAAATTGGAGATCTAATGAGCACATAAATGAATACATCTCTAAAGTACTGTGATAGCTAGCCTAGGGAACAAAGTCACCACGGTGACATTTGCCAGAATTAATCAGAGAAAGCTTCAGCTATGAGTGCAGATGACATAGAGCAATGAGCGTCTCCCATACTATTCCTGAAATCTTTCTATCTGCCCCAGTCACTGACACTTTCCTGGTTATCATCTTTCCATCTACTAAAGCAGCCCCCTAATGAATTTCTCCAGAGGAGAAACGCCAGATCTACCTTTATGCTCCTCCAGTGACTCCCATGTCTATAGGACTAGGGCCAAATTTTAAAGATTCTTCACACTGCTGAAGACATAATCTGATGAGATTCTGCTTTTACTTAGTGTTCCTTCACTTTCCTTAGCAAGAAATTTAAGACCCTTTTTAATGTGACTGTGGCCTGCCACTGTTCACTCCATATTTCATCCTGAAGGCCACACTATTTCTTGAGTAGTCCATGAATTTCTGTCTTCAGTATGCAGCTCCCAGAACACGTTTTTGAAGTCTCTCTTATTCTCCATTGTAAACCATTCCTTCCTCAGAGCTCCAGTAATCTTTTACTAATATCACACAGAACTTTCACACTGTATTATAATTTTTAGCATATTAGGTAATTATCACTTGGACTAGCATATAAGCAAGGTGAAAACAGGAGAATGGGAATAATATTCCAGTTTGAATATGAAACTTGAGGAGAGAAGCATCATTTGCATTGAGCTGAGGGAGACGTGGAAGTGATCAGGACAAGGTATAAAGTGACTGTTGGCTAATTCTTTGCCTCACCCCACTTGACTATGGAAAAGAGAATTCGCAAATGTGGGGACTGAAGCAGTAGAAAGGTGGGAGGTCTTAGCATAAAAGGTTAAGTTAAACTATACAGGCAAATAGGAAATTATGTAGATTTGTGGGGAAAGTCTAGAGCAGAATTTAGAACTGAAGGAATGGGTTTATACAGGATTGCTATGGCTCATGAACAGGATCTCCTTTAATGTTGGTGTTTCTTTATACTGTATTTTGGGTTGGTGTATGCTTGTCTTTTAACTCAGCTCTGTGCAGATATGACCATATGGGGCTGCAGGATTAGAGAATTTATTGTTAAGTATATAACACAGAGTTGAATCTTCACTTTATTTACTTCCCTTTGGTTTTGTTTTGGGCACCGGGTTACTGGGGATGGAACCCAGAGTTGCTTTACCACTGAGTTACATCCTCACCCCTTCTTAAAATTTTAGGGTCTTACTAAGTAACTTAGGTTGCTGAGTCTGGCCTTGAACTTGAGATCCTCCTTCCTCAGCCTCCTGAGTCACTGGGATTATAGGCGTGCACCATCATGCTCAGCTTCACTTCCCTTTGATATTTCAAAATTCATGCAACATTCAGGTTATACAAATGTATTACTTTTCCCACTTTACCTCAGATCTTAGAAGACAAGATGGATATTCCAAACTCCAGTCATTATCTTACCAATTCACTACATAAAAATTACCCACTGGATCCTACTCTATCAAAGCCCTGCACCCGGATAGTAGTTATAAATTATATACATATATTCTGGATAAGCCGTTTTCAGATAAGGCACATATCCAACTGAAGTGACCCTAGGTCTCTAGTCTCTTGTTTGTTCATTTATATAAGAATTCATTGAGAATTTTGATAACCTTGAAGGAATAACTTTAAATATAATAGCAGGAATTTCAAGTATCCTGGCAGATTGTCAGGGCACAAATTTGGAGGCAATGAGGAATTTAAGCACCTATCAAGTCATACTATCTCTGTGGTAAACTCTATTGTCTATACATAATGCTCACCTTAAACATCACTACTGTATACCTCAGTTTCTCCATCTGGTAAATCAGAATAAGTGATAACTTGTTGTCAGTTTCTAATTCTCACCCCCAAAAAGAACAAATTTCTCATCAGTATGGAATCTGTTGCTTTCCCCAAAATATAACAAGTTCTGTGTTTCTAGTGTTCATAAACAGTCAAAAGTTGATTCAACCATTTTAAATGTCACACATGGGAAGATATAAAAATTTATATCTGGGATATAAGAAATCTCTTCCACCCATGCCAGTCCCTGAGGACTTGTATAGTCTTGATATCTAAGAAAGTTATCCAGGTATATAGCAGATACCAATGTCTGCTCTACCAGCACTTAAGTACATGGGAACACTTTGAAAACACTAGTCCTTTTTGAGAATTTTAGCACTGAATTAATTTACAAATTACGTCCAAATTTCATGGTTATTGTATGGAAAGACTAGTTACTTCATAAATCTTTGGATTTGTAATGCCATTAATACCTACTATCCAATTTAATTGAAAATCATTCTAAGATTTGAGGCATGATTCATTTTATAGTGAGCTGAGACTCAGCAAGGTTTAAAGGCTTGTACAAGGCCACACCTTGTATACAAATATCCTACATAGAACCAACCTTCCTGTAGAATTTGAAAATATTGATTACTTTCTACTCGGGCTATTTCACTTCCAAGGATCCTTTTGAACTGCGACTTCTTGTCTAGCCTTGCAAACCTTAAACTCGAATCTTTAGTGCTTTTCCATTTTCTTCTTCCAGCCCAGTGTGCTTCAAAATCCCTTAGAGAACTAAAACACAAACTGCTGAGCCCCATCACCAGAGTTTCTGATTCAGGAGATAAGAGATGAGGCCTGAAAATCTCCTTTTCTAACAACTTTCTAGGATATTTTGAAGATGCTGGTCCACGGACCAAATTGTGAAAACCACTGCTCTGCTTTCCCTAAATAAATCCAATTTTCATTTTGGCTTCAAATTTTATCACAGTGTAGATGACTTCTGCTACATTTCCAGAAACTGGAACTAAAGTTTGGATGTTTTTCTAACCCTTCAAGGTCAATATGCCACAAAAGATATAATATTTTAGTCACTCTCCCCAATCTAATTTCTATGGCTATCATTAAAGTAGCTGAGACTTCAGTTCAACTTGAAACCAATTAAAATCAAGTTCTTAAAATTATTCAACTAGAAAAACAACTGTTTCTCCTTTAGTTCACATTCCTCTTGTAACAGTGATAACAACCATTACAGTTTTAGAATTAATCCTCTATTGTGCCATATTATTTTTTATGGGGTATAAGTTAAGGGATAAATGGAACCATGCCTAATACACTTTGGTCTTTCATGACTTCCTGATAATGCTAAATCATAATTTATAATTTTTTAAAATAAATTAAATGGTAAAAGCTTCTTATAACATACTACATAGTTAAGAATACCGTTAGTGATTTCCAAAACAAGCAAAAACCTGTTCTGTTACATTTTAGAGAGAATAAAAGGTTAACTATTTTGCACAAAAGTGCTAGAGATCTCTTCTGTATAGACTAATGACTCTGTAAGGAATTCAGAGTGCAGTGTCTCAAAGTGTACTACTACCTAAGTTACAGTAGATTTCATCAGGTGGGGCAAAGCAGGAACTCTAGCCTTCTGGTTGTTATAGGCCTAAAATTTCATCTGAAAGCTTTTTCTGTCTAAATATTGTCAACTATATTAATGATGGTTTTCTTTTGGGTAGGCGAATGTGTGCTTTCATGATACAAATCAAGGGTGAAACAGGATTTTATTTATTGCAGTTTTTTTTAATTTCCAGAAAACAATTTAGAAATATAAATGTTTGACTCCAGAGCAAGTATACTTTAATCTCAAACTTTTTGAAAAGGAAACCATTAAAAAAATGGCCTGTCTATATATGTGCATTTTATATTGTTTGAATATCATTTGTCGTCCACCACTAGCTTTAAAATAGATTGGCCAACTATCATTATATACAGTTTCCTGCAAAACAAACAAAAAGCACATTATTCTAATAAAAACTAGAACTTGATAGCTCAAAGTAATAACTTCTTCAAGTAACCACTTCAAAAATCAAATAATATTACTGAACCAGGCCTATTTTGCTCTCATACAATATACCAATAACTGAAACAAGTTTTTCAAAAAACAAGAGTTTTATTCACAAGATGACCACATGTGAAGACAGGAGAGTAGGTCTCAAATCCACCTCCCCAGAAATAGGATTTTGGGGTATTGGGGGTGGGGGTAAAAAAGTAGACTGATCTAAGACATGGAGAAAATGGCAGTATGAAAAACAGAAGTAAATGGTGGTCTATGCAATCATAACGAAATTTCACGGCTCTTCACATAGCACATGTTCAGAAAGTTCTGGTGCTAGTTTCAAATGTTGACTCTCAAAACATAATTATTAACTGGAAACAGAAACTTTTCTCTTATAAATTCTTTTTCCCCCTATTTTTAAAATAGAAATAATTTTGATTTGATTGGTATATTTTAAGCTTTAAAAGAAGTAACTTATATAGTCAGTATAGCTACTTTTATTGTGTGCATCCTTGAATCCTGAATAGCGTTTTGGCCATGATGAGAGCCCACAGTCAAGTCTAAAAATGGTCACAATTCACCTCTTCCAAAATTACAATAGGGAAAATTGTTTGACTTTCACTGGTTCCTATTTCTTAGAGGACAGATTTTTAAAAAGAGTTACTATAGAAAATGTCAATGCTTTTCAAATTGGGGCTCAAAGGAGTCAACATTGGGGAAACTTCTCTCATTTTTACTCCTTATGGCCAGTTTCAATCTGCAATAGGTTTTGGCATTGATCCTCAAATAATAAATTAACAAGGACTACTGTTTGGGGAACTACAGTAACATAGTACATGATATTTGAGTCAACAACACAATACATATTGGATGATGGCACAATAAAATGGTAATGGAGTTGAAAAATTCCTGTCACCTTGCATTTTTATTCTATCTTTTCCATGTTTAGATATACAAATGCTTACCATTATGTTACAATTGCTTATAGTATGAAGTACATAATATGCTCTGTAAATTTGTAGCCTAGGAGAAATAGTTGTACTTTCTAGGTTTGCATAATTACCTAAGTTTGCAACAATGACAAAATTGGATAATTATGCACAGAATGTGTGCTGGTTAAGTGATGCATGACTATAAAGTTTTACAAGAACAATTACACCTTTTTGCTTAAATATATGTCCATGGTTGCTTTCACAAGTACAAAGACCCAAAGTCTGGCTCTTCAAAGAAAAAATGTTTGTGCCTGGTGTGATGGTGCATGCCTGTAATCCCAGCTGCTCAGGAGGCTGAGGCAGGAGGGAGGCTAAGATGGGAGAATTGCAAGTTCAAAGCCAACCTCAGCAATGGCAAGTGCTAGGCAACTCAGTGAGACCCTGTCTCTAAATAAAACACAGAATAGGGCCAGGGATGTGGCTCAGTGATACCAAAAAAAAAAAAAAAAAAAAAAAAAAGTTGCTCCTTGAGTCTAGTTTCTTAATGTGGTGGATCATAAATGCCCACAGTCTGCACTACTTCCATCAAGAGGTGGGGTTGAGGTCCCCCTTCCACAGTGACTCCAGGCTTGGCCATAACTTGCTTTGGCCAATAAAATATCAGTTATAGAGTCATGAGACTTAAATGAATACATGTAAAGGACTTAGAACAATAACTGCAATACTGGTAAGAGCTCAATAACAGTTAGTCTGTTTGCCAATTTTTATTATTTGCAGTACATGAATGTTCTATTCCTTCTCTCCTATGTTAAATTTAAGCCTCAAATTGACCATTGATTTCTGTCCTCTTTCCATTGTTCTGCCAGAAGTGTTAACCTAAGAAGGTAGCAGAAAAATAAGGAGATTTAATCAACAGTCTCCTAAATAAGGTGATGAAAAGGATTGTAAAGATTCATTGACAAATTCAAGTTTTTATTGAATGCCATAGCTCACTTAATAGGCATAGTTAGACATAGTATTATCTCATTTGCTATATCTGATATCACATAGCAAAGCTTGAGATTATCATAGAATCTGACAGCCTCATTAACACATTTAATCTATAGTGAAATAGATATTGCGGTTTTATACTGACATGTTTTCCAAGGGACTATTGGGCATTTACTTGATTTGAAAAACAAACTGCTGTGTACATCCAGAAATGCAATGTAACATGACAATCAAAGAAGAAAGGAAACAAAACAAGGCTCATGAGGAAAATAACCTCTTAAGAACTATCATAGCTTGAAGGTAAAATTCACAAGTATCCAGTAATAAGAAACTCACAATCAAAGCAGCACTGCAGATACAGCATTAAAATGGGATTCAGTTCTGTGTCTTCATTTGAGAATCTTCAAACAAGGAGGAAGGATCACCCATTTTCCTGTGATTTGTCAATAAATTTACAAAGTTATTTTGTAAATGACCTTGCTGGTTAATAATTACATTGCATTTGAAAATCTCCTTCAGCCCTCTTCCCTTCCCTATTTTTCCTGGGAAAATAGAGAACATTAACAGTGAGGAAACTTTTTAGGAACAGGCATTAATGTTTGCTATAACTTGATTCCTTAGCAGCCATAATGCTTTTTAATAATTTAATAATTTTATGCTATCAAGTGAAGCAGGTAAGTAGATCACATGCTTTGTAAATACTAACACTAAACAAAAGAATATAGCAATAAAGAATCTGGTTCCAACCAGAACAGATTCCTTAAAATATGTCTTCCTTTTGATCCTGATTGTCCTTTTGGATGCAAGTGCTGGTCTCAAAAATATTTGCAGTTAAAAGAGGAACAGCATTGGGCATGGTGGTGCATACCTGTAATCCCAGCTTTTGGGGAGGCTAAGGCAGGAGTTCAAAACCAGCCTCAGCAAAAGTGAGGCCCTAAGCAACTCAGTGAGATCTTGTCTCTAAATAAAATACAAAATAGGGCTGGAGATGTGGCTCAGTGGTCGAGTGCCCCCGAGTTCAACCCCTGATACACTCCCAAAAAAGAGGAACTGCAAAAAGGGTGTGCCTGGGATAGCAGCTAACATTAAACCTATTGTAGGAAAAAAGGTAGAGAGCTTCAAAATCCAATTGTCGACTTCTAGGTAATATTAGATAACTTAACATCAACATCCCCACTGTCAGATGCTGAACTGTTTCAGCTTAGAAAGCAATAGTTTATCTTTGTATCTTCAGCATCTAACAGAGAAATACTCATTAGTTATTTGCTGAATGAAGAAAAAAAAATCCTCATCTGTTCAAAGATAAATCTCCACAGAATATGGTTTGAACAAAATCTTTATTGGCTCTACATAAACTATAGGAACTCAACTTCTCCACACTTTTGATAGTCTATAGTTCCTTGTTTCATTTCTTTTAAGTACATTTTAAAATTTAAAAGCAACATCCATCACCAAACACCAAATATCTCTAGCACTATTAGAAGAACACATCCAATTGAATATTAAGTCTCTCAGATTGTTCAATGAAATCTCCCATTCCAATCATGATGCTTGTTAATACCCTTCAGCTATCAGTTCTGGTCTTCATTCAAAGTTCAAAAAAGAGAAGATGGATGAGGACTGAAATTAAAAAGGACTTTTGTATATATGCATACAGTGGACACATTCAAAAGGAAAAGATGAGAGAAAAAGGGGACCTCTGCAAGGCTGAGGTTGTGGCTCAGTGGTAGAACACTTGCCTTGCATGCATAAGGCACTGGGTTTGATCCCTGGCACCACAACAAACTTAAAAAAAGTTTGACCAATTTAAATTAGCTTACCTCTCTAAACATTGATTTCCTTATTTCTAAGGCAAATTCATTCCATAATCCTTCTGGTTCCTTTTTAGCTTCAATATTCTCTCATTTGGTTCCTTTTTTTTTCTCTTTAGAGTGGAAAGTAGAAGCTTTATTAAAGGACAGTAGAAAAGACTTCTTCCCGGAGGAAGAAGGGGACCCAAGAGATGGAATCCATCATTTGGTTCTTAATGGATGCATGAACTGAAACACTAATCATATATTTTGCTGGAGGTGGAATAGTTTCTCATTAACACATCAGGAGTGAAAGAATGTTCTACTTAATCCACATCTATATCAGGTTCTGAAATGGCCCAAGGAAAGTTATTGGTTTGGGGCAAGAATAAATCCTGTAGGTAATTTAGTAGTTTAAACAGTGTCTAAATTCAATTGCCAAAGAACATTGTCAACTTAGATTGTAACCGGAATTGCCTGATAAACCTGTTTTATTGCTGCCTGAATCCTAGTCCTGTATATTACTATCCGTATGTTGCTCTGAAGTATAGCCTGGTCATAATTACTTTCACTAGCTCTCTAGGTGATTCTCACCTAAGAAAAAAAGGAAAACTACTAACACAGAGTGGTAACCTCTCAAACTTAATCATGAATTGGTCTCCTGGAGGGATTATTAAGATTGCTGGTTGCCATATATATAACTGATACTGGTACCTGAAATCATAAGTTTAAATCCTGTTATTACCACCTCTATAATCTTAGGAAAATACTCTCTGTAGTCTCTTTATAGCAATACTTAGATCTCAGAGCTGTGAGACATAAATAGTGTACCAATCAGTCTCCTGGAGGGATTATTATAACAGATTGCTGGTTGCCACACTCAGAGACTCTCAGTAGGTCTACAATGAAGCCTAAAAATTGCTTTTCTAACAAGTTTCCCAGTAGTGATGCTTTTTGCCCAGAAACCTCCCTTTGAGCACCACTGGTACAGTTTCTGGCACAGAATGCAAAAACAAATATTAACTTCCTTTTTCCATTATACATAGCAAGATGGACCAATGATTACACTAAGATGTTTGCACAGAAGTTAATACTTCACAGGAAAAGCAGCCCATCTAATGAAAATTACATGTATAATCATGACAAGTATGAGAAATATTTTAAAGTACAGGGCATTAAAAATACCTGCATCCCGTTTTTCAAAGCTTCATTATAATTTAGGTGGTAGGAATATTAAAAACAGTATTAAGTATTAGGAATATTAGGTTCAATCTATAAAGAATATGAATTTTTTTACACCATATAATGGATTCTGATACCTCATCCATGGTAATAATTTGTTTTCCATAGAATTAGAAGAACATAATAAATAGCAATACTTGCATCAAACTTTAATATTTTGGTCTTTAAATGCTATTTAATTTCCAAGAAAACCTGTAATATAAGTGCATAAGAATCCTATTACCACAAAACAAAAATACTGATGATGGGATAGGTGGCTTTTTATTTACATATACTAACAAGTAAAAAAGCAAATCTCTTTTCTGCTTTCCATTTGCTTCACTTTGTATGTCCCAAGGTCTTTCATGAATTAATGTCTAAACCCTGAGGTGAATACTGGGAGGTTAAACAGGCCACTATAGAAGTAGTTGCACATGCCTTGCCATCAGATATAGGGAAAGCACCAGACATTGGGCCTTCATGGTGGGCTGGTTAAAATAATAACTGGATACTGTTGGTTTTTCTCTATGGAACCTACAACGAGTCTCAAAAAGTACTGAATAGTTCAGGTTGGAAGGCATAAGTTAGGATTGTTTAAAGCATGTTTCTTCCTATGTTAATAATTGACCCAGAGGCAAGATCTTACTGGAACTTTTTATTTTGAAAGGCCTTCCCTTTCCATTTAGCCCGATGCCATTAAAACACAAATTTCCTTTTCTGAACTCTCTAGAAAATAAAACTGATGACCACCTGTAGATCTTCATTGCTGCTTCATGTTCTCCATGGTCCTATTTCTTTTCATTACTATTTTCAATTATTACTTAATCTGACAATAAACTTTTCATCTATTTATGAATTTTCTTAACTAGACTGTGAACTCTTATTTAAGAGTCCTTAACTTGTGCCCTTTCCTCAAGTGCTTCAATTCTAACTTTTTTCTTTTGCTTCCTGCAATATAAACTTGACACCAACTTACACTCCCCTGTTTATGTGTCTAATTCCATTTAAAGCTTTCTCTTCCCAACTGGAACCAAAAAAACCCTTTAGGATGAAAGTAAATATTTCACTTCTTTGTAAGAGCATCTCAACAAAGCTGATGTCCAATCAATTTTATTAAATAACTGTTAATTTGTCCATGCTAAAAACTGGATACAATTTATTACCTGAGGAAAATTCCTCATCATCTTAAGTCACAATGATATAAAGCCTCCAGTCTGGTTGGTATATTTGGAGAATGGGAATGACTTTCTAAGGCTAAGCCTTAGTTCAGTTATTCTCAGTGCTTTAAAACCAACACTTAAATAAGATGGGTCCCATGTCACCAATATCCCCCGTATTCCCTAGCATCCATTCATCCATATTTTCTTTCCAGGCTTTCCCCAGGAAACAGCCATCAAATATCCCTAACCCTAAACAAACAAAACTCATTTCCTCCCAGTCTCTGAAAAATTGCTTATTTTAATGTATTAAAAGCCACACTCATTGTTTGGAGCCTTTCAAAAAGCTAGTAATTCAGGCCTTCTCATATTCCCTAAATCAGAAACAGAGCTGATTTCATGCTTATCCTGTCCAGGAGGCAGTTCCTTTTCTCAGGTTTTTTCCTGTTACTAGAAACCAAAAAGATTGGTAGATTGCCTGAGAGGGTTCAGATTCCTCCTTGAAGGCACTATCTTTTGTCCTTTCAGAAGTTGTCTTGATGGGTTGGTTTGGTCCCACTGCCATATCCCTGACCACAATCATCCCCATTGATCCTTTAACAGTACTGTGAGGTATCAAAAAAATCCACTAGTATAGCCACAAATTGGTAAGACTTATCTTTATATCTCAAAGTTTTTTGAACTGATTGACCTGAGCAGAGCTGTCTTATACCAAATTTACCTCTACTTCATCTTAGCTAGTATGAAAAGAAATATTGTTCTGATTTTTAATTAGTTGCTTTAGTTATTGTTTTTTAAATGACTTTGATTAGGATGCCCTTTGAAAGTTCAACTTCCTGTTTCCCATTACATATGTTCTGCAAATAGCTATTTAAAAGTTCTTCAATTAAGATTAGCCCTTATATACAGAAATCTAGAAACCACAGAACAGTTTTCTCACCTCTTTAATTTTCCATAAGGCATCAATATTATACTGTCATATATGCATATGTATCTGTATTATATATATGTATTCGCTTTTTATAAAAAGTAAAAAGCTCTTCTTAGTCTCCTGTGTCCAATATAGGCACCAAAAATATATTTAGAAATTAAATAAAGGCCACAAGTACTTCCCAAGGAAGATCATTAAAAAAGAAAACTCCTCTCTTCCTCTTGTCATACAGCTAGCTGGCCTTCAAGACACGGCAGCTAATAAAACGGTGTGACCCATGATGACAGGAAGACTAGACCGTTCCATCTTTGGGTGGTAGCTGAATTTCTATTAGCAGTCCTAGCAAAATATATAACTCCTCATTTGTTCTAAGCAAGTCTTTTCTTCAGCTTTCCTTCAAACAATACCTTTACTCTCCCATTAGAATATGAAGACTTGGAGCTTCTGAACAGCAATGTTCTGGGTGGGAATCAGTCACTTTAAATCATGTGTTGGCTATGCAGAGAGGGAAAGATACAGGACAACAGCAGGGAAGGAGGAGAAAAGAAATGTAAGTTCACACTGGGAGCACTGGAAGACAGCAAGACTTTCAAAGGTGTTGCCGGTATCTCATGAAGGCCCAGGCTGCAACCACGGTGAGGGCAAACACTGGCAGCAGCACCATAGCTATGGGAACACCACTTGGCTCCCCTTCACCTCGATGTCCTATAGGTCCATTCTGCTCCTGTAACTGGAAGGGAAAGAAAAATATTAACTCTAGTGACTACAGTGTTCACCACAATTGAAATGTCATGTTGACACATCACCCAGGGTTGTAGTCTGTAGAGCACCCAAAGTGGTAAACTCAAGCATTTCCTATTGTCCTGAGCTTGTGCACCGTAGACACAGATGTTTAAGGAAAAAATAGGTCTGAGGGTTCCCCAAGGGCAAGTCAGATGTACTCAGTTTCTGTACTGCCTCCATCTCACTGCATGTGTTTCATATCAGGAAAATGGAGTTATGAGATGAAACCTATGTATCCTGTGAGGAACCTGGATATTACTAAGAAGGAGAAGGGAGAAGGAGAATATCTTCCTTGGAATGTTTGCTTATATGATTATTAATCATCAGAATGCAGTAAGATCAGATCAAGGAAATGTAAATAAAAGTGCAATGCCATCACTTGGAAATGTTTTTCAGTTCCTGGAAGGTACCCCCTCCCTCCTAAGATGAGGTGTTGTCCTTCATGCCCTAATTTATAACACTAAGGTGAAACCTATATGGAAGAGAGGTTAAAGAATGAGAGGTAAGTGAGTAATAATAAATTATATACTAGTTATTATAATTTCTCATGCCTAAATATTCCTTTTGAGATTGGATTATCTTTCTTTATTGCGTTTTTTTCAGGGTGGCCCTTCTGACTATCAACTTTTAATGATTAACTTGCAATAATTATTGTGCTATCTTGTTAGATACCTCCTTGTGATAACCTATGAAACTTTAACCCCTCCATCTGAAAGGTAAGACCACACAAACTACCTTTTATACCCTCTATCCCACTTCTACACATTTCATTTCTTTCTTGATGTTCTGAGAGGGTATATTCAATAGGAAGACATGTATTTTAGGACTAGGCCAATTCCCTTGAACAGCAGGATCTGTTATATTAGGAGTTATTTATAAATGCTCCCTAAAGAGAACACTGCAAAGCACTTCCCACACACCTTTAAAAAGAATCCTAATTATATCTTAAGTATATGCCTGTATTTAATTGCCTTTACCTACTACATAAATTCTCCCATACTTTAGAAATACAGAAGAGTCAAGGCACAAGCAGTGGATGACCAATACTGTCTCTTATCAACTTTTTCTTTTTTTGTTGGGGTGGGTACCGAGGATTGAAGGATTGAACCCAGGGGCACTTAACTACTGAGACACATCCACAGCCCTTTTTTGTATTTTATGTAGAGACAGGGACTCACTGAGTTGCTTAGGGTCTCACTAAAGTTGCTGAGACTGGCTTTGAACTTGCGATTCTCCTGCTTCAGCCGCCTGGGATTATAGGCCTGTGCCACTACACTGGGCTTATCAACCTGCTTTCTAATCCATCATACCCACATTCTGTTTGTAATACTAGGTGCTAGCTCAGCTTTTGTGTTTTTCCTTCTCCATTTTTTTTTTTTTACTAGTTTCTCTCAAACTTCTATAGCCTCTCTTTACTCAGTCACTAGGTAAAGCAAAGAATATACCAATTTAAGAAGGAATAACTATAAAGGCACAGTGAACCTGTACTGTGAATACACTTAGAAATTCTTGGTGCTGTGGGAAGAACTGTCTACTAAGTACCCTTCATATTCATCATCCAAATTATAATCACTAGGAAATAAGAAGTGATGGAGGGACAGATATTGTCTTAACCCAATTTTGAATTCCATTTCCTTTTTCCTAGAACTCCCCTTTGAGCATGATAGCTTTTGTCAAGAGTTATCAAGTTGGTAGAGAAGGGTTCATGGAATGATAGGGCAAGTAAACGAGGGATCCAGGAAATACACCATCTTTGTAGTCCAGAGTTTTATAAACAAGATTTTTCCAGGGCAGGTATATGCTTCTTTCCCTAACAAAATGTAAAGGTGATTTTCCCCCCAACTATTTAAATTTGACTATTAAGCTTTATCTTTAAAGAACGTTACCTTGAAGGCAGGATCTGGGTTACAAGCATATTGTTACGAATTTCTTTTGATGACAAACAGAAGAACCAGAGAACTCCTGCCTGTGCCAAACAAGCTCTTCAAAGTAGTGACAGAAAACAAAACAAAACACAAACCCACCCACCCACAGGTTTACTCACAAGGATGGTGCAAAAACCCAATGGCTGCAAGTGACACCTACTCTGTGTTGCACTCTCAATGAAACAGCATAGCCTGCATTACGAAAGAGGTCTACTGCATCCCGGTGCAGCAGGTTCTTTAGGTCTTGACCATTTACCTGTCAAAAACAGTGAGGGAGAATAGTAAGAGAAACAGACAGCTAATCTCGTAAGTCAACAATCTACTTTCATATGGCCAAAGCTAAAAAAACAAAAACAAAAACACCCCAACTCTTTCAGGGCAAATTCAAAGGGCTAGGAATAAAGGCAAAATTACTTAGAATCATTTTTCCCACTTTCAAAGTTGTTTTCCTACAGCTAAGGTTCTGTGGGCCATAGGAAGAGAACCTACATAAAAATAAAATGGGTTCTCCTTTTTCCCAGCTTCTATGCCTGTCCTGTTTTGACACTTGGGATTCTTTTACTATATTTGTATGTCTTCCTAGAGAATTAGCCTATAACTAAACAATCTTCTAGGTTATAACCCTATTCTTGATATTCCTAATCCTTAGCATTATCAATTTTAAATCTGGAAACGTAATTCTATGAAACTCTCCCACAATTAATTGATTGCTTGATAGATAGATACCAGGGATTGAACTCAGGGGCACTTGACCACTGAGCCAAATCCCTAGCCCTACTTTGTATTTTATTTAGAGACATGGTCTCACTGAGTTACTTAGTGTCTCACTTTCAGCCTCCCAAGCCACTGGGATTACAGGTGAGCACCACCATGCCCAGTTTACACAATTTATTTTGATATAAATCTATACTGGCACATTCTCTTGGGCTTACTTTATTGTGACCAATTTTCCTGGATTCCATAGACATTCCTATCCTTAAATTTACTAAACACCATATTTCTGTGATGATACAAACCTTAAAAAGGGCATTTAAACATAGGCTACTCTTGGCAGTTAAAGGTAAATGATGTGAGGAATACTGGAATTGATACTGTTTATGGTTAGGAGTGACACTGGCCACAAGTGATATCTATCCTATGCTGTACCCAGTGACACAGCACAGTAAAATGTGTACAAGATACAGATCTTTTGTACACATCAGTGTTATCAACAGCAATAGCAGTAAGAATATTAACATATTTATCTATGCTTTGTATATGTTATCTTAATTCTCTCATCCTGTGAAGAAAATAGCATTTTTATATTGATTTCATTGATACAACAATTGAAGCTGTGTGAGACTAGTGAGCTAGGGCTAGTTTTTAAATAATGGAAGGAGAATCAGAGTATCCTTGCATTCTACTGTCCACATATGCTACTATTCTACCACCCTAACTCACCAACCATCCCTGACTTGATTGAAGCTCAAGCTATTGACTTTTTCAATTCTCTCATCTCCCTTGTCACAATCTTCCTTCTCCAAGAGATTCATAGCATTCTATTTCCTGCTAATGCCCTTGGTAAATTTACCAATACTTTTGCCTTTCAGGCTGTCTGTTCTCTTTATAGTTACAAACTCCACTCCTCTTTTGTTACCAACTGAGTGACACACACTTAAGACTTAACATTAGATATGCTTCAACTTAAAACTATTAAAAACCTGTCAATTTCTACTCCTTTTATACTTCCTAGTCCCATCTTCACGGTTGCATTTGTAACTTCAACCAAGCACTTAATGAATCATTAGAATTTGTTGTCCCCAAGATCTTCTGACATCTTCCCAGTCCTGGGTAACATACTACATCTACTTTCCTTGTCATCACTGAGTTGAATATTCCTAGAGAAAGATAGTAACTCTACGATAGATACACATTAGCTGAGTCTGGCTTATCCTTAAAACGCTCTACTCATCAAAAAAACCCACTAAGAAATATACAGCAGTGTCTCTTCCACACCTTTTCCACCATCAAAGCCCCTTCCAATCTTCTCTCCTCTCAGCAGATTCCCATCTCATCTTTTTTGAGAATAGTGAGGATTTCTCATACTCTCCCCCTTTTCTTATCATCCTCTTTAGTTTCTTGATATCCTCTCACTGCTCCTTTCCCCTAATTTCTGAATTAGATCTATTTCCTTTATCAAGGATAAACCATCTAGTGAAGTACTTGTTCATATTCTCTCTATTATTTTCTCCTCTCAATTGCTTTATTTCTCCTCTATAAAGAATACAATTATTTCTTACAATCCACTACCACCCTCTTCGCATTTTTTTTTTTTTTGGTAGTGATAATTAAACCCAGGGGTGTTTACAATTGAGCTACATCCCCAGGTCTTTAAATTTTTTTTTTTTTTTTTTTTTTGAGACAAGATCTTGCCAAGTTGCTGAGGCTGGCCTTACATTGCAATCATCTTTTCTCTGCCTCCCAAGACTCTGGAATTACAGGCATGTGTTACCATGCCTGGCCTCGTCTTTCATTGCCAAACTGTTTAAAGATCTGTTTGCAAGCACTGCCTCCACTCCCTCAGAATCCATTCACTCTTTATTCCTTTATAATTTAATAATATATAAGTCGGGAGGAACATGTTTTCTTGAAGGTCAGCGGTGATTTCCAATCGTCAACTCTTTCTCAATCTTCAGATCAACTCCTTCCTTTTGTAATCTTCTCCTATGTACACTTAGTTCTCTTAGTCCTTAAATTATTCTTTTTCTGATTCCTCTCCCTTTCCTTCTTCTTAAGGTAAATTAGCATTCTTCACTGTGAGTCCTTCAACCCTTCTCTCTCATGATGATCTTTCATAATTCCAACCATAACCTGTAAGATAACTCTCAATTTTTATCCTGCTTTTACTTTGGGTTTTGCTAGTTTCCTGCTGAATGCTTATACTTGACCTCAATGCTCTACTAGACCTCAATTCAACATATCCAAAGCCTCTTAGTAACTTCCCACAAAACCAGAAATTTCCTGACTTCCTTCTCATTGCTACGACCACCTTTTCACACTAAAATGTTAATACCATTTTGCTGTTTAAGACACAAAAACAAAATTGGGGAGCAAGGAGAGTGCATACTTGATTTCTCAAACTGGTATGCAAAGTCCTCCAGGAAAAGGCTCTAACCCACTTTCTCAGTTTAATCTCTCTCTTCCTTTATATATTCTATGCCCGAGATATGCATAGCTTACTGACCTCTAGGACCTAAAACATAAACATTCATATCTATGCTAAGCTATATTCATCACCTAAATGCTATTCCCTTTTCCAAAATTCTACTTATCTTCCAAGATTGATCTTTAAAAGGATCAGTCCTGCAGTGTTTGCTGGCAAAGAGTAGGAGTTTTGTTGACTTGGATTTTGACCAAAGGTAGTCTGTGAAAGGAACTTTTTCCTCCAAGGTTCTCAAATCCAAGCTTGGTAAGGTTGTCAAATACTACAGCACTACTCTTTCCAACACACAGCCCTGCCACACTGAGATCTTCAAACCTTCTGTTTCCCTCCTACTCCCCACATCACTACCAAGTTCCTCAGTGTTTTATATAGATTGTAGGTTCATTTAAATTACCTTTTCCCTCATGAATGAGTTATTTATAGAGATTTTGTTAAATATTGAGCCATATGCATATGTGGATATTGGCAGGGTTGTGTTTGGTTTATGATACTGTGCAAACATTTCATATTAGCCAATAAACAGAAATGCATACAAAAAAAAAAAAAAGGATCAGTCCTGCTACCTATAATATAGACTAAACATACAGGGTTTTCTTCTAGTTGATGGACCTTGATTTCACATTATCAAGACAACTTCTGATTATGCCTTTTTTGGGAATGAGGGAGATAGGCCCCATGGGAGAAACTTTATAATGAATTCTCAATGACTCAGTTTTCTAGTTAACTCCTAGGGGAGAGAATAGGTGTGAGATTACTGACTGTAGTGAGAATACCCACTTATGTAATCTAGCCCATATATTAACTATATTTCTCATTGTAAAAAAAAATAGGTATTTTCTATTAGAGCATACAAATAAGTTAATAATGCAGTCCTGTCAGCTAATGTCAAATGATGTCACAGCTCCAAATTAGTCTCAACAGCAAAGTGTCACAGTAATATGAATTCAAGTGGAATAACTGGATCACTCCATGACATTCATGGTAGGAATACTGAGCTTAAAATAATCTTTGCCATAATGTTCAGTAATGATTCCAGGAAAAATTATTTAACATTTATATTATGTTTGGGGCTCCTAGTCATTCTACCTACATTAATCTTCACAATGGTTCCTTTATATTAGGAACTTCCATTTTTTAAGTGATAAATCAAAAACTCAGAGAAACTATGCAACTCATCTATGAGCACATATAATGGAAGTAACAAAGCAAAGATTCCAATTCGAGCATCCTGGCCCCCAAACCTTCACTTTAAAACACTGACCTACACAAATTTACACTGTAAGCAAGGATCTCATTTCAGCAACATTTCACTATCTCATTAATGATGTAAATTAGATTTTATAGTTTTGTCGGTATTTAATGTTAACTTTACACATGCATAAAACATAGGTCTTTAAATATTAGTATTTTTATCATTTATATATGCTAAAGTAGAATTAAAAATTTAAAAATGCAGCTTAGTTAAATGCCACTTCATGGACAAAGTCTTTCTTCATAATTTCACTAGATGTGACTGGTTTACTTCTTTGGATCTCTGTAATATATAAAGCTCTTAAATATAATATAATATAATCTCATTAATATAATATAATCTCATTAATATATAATGCTCTTGAACTCTGCCTCATGTCATTTTACATTCTACTTTGAGTAACTTGAAGTAGTTGTATCTCAACTCATCATTATAAGCCTTATAACACCCGAAGAGCAGTTTGTACAACACTTGAACATAAGAAATGTCATGTTTTCCTGAAGTTTGGCTACAAGTGTGCCCTGCAGGAAGACTGACTGACAACAATCTCAGTATCATAAAGTTGAAAGGTCTGGAGTCTAATAATAGTTCTATCTGCCAATGATTCAGTGAACAATCTTGGCCCTCATTTGAACCTCCTCCTGCTAACAAGGAAGAAAGACATTGATGATATTAGGCAAAAGAAGGTACTATAAAGGGCAAAAGCCAATTAGGCCTCTCAGCCTCTTAGTAAAGCCTAAATGTATTTTAATATAAGAGAATTATTCTAACTACTATTTTAAAAATAAGACCCTTTTGCTGG